AGTGGGGTGGACACTCCAGACGGACTCCTCCCCCCCCGCCCCCGCCCCTCTCGTTCTACTTTGCTTTTTATTCTCTTATTTCTATTCCTCTTGCTTTTCAGGTTTTCAGTTCTAGGAAGAAATCTTTTGTTTTGTTTTTGTGTGTGTGTTTTAACTTTTCTCGCCCCCGCCCCTCTCGTTCTACTTTGCTTTTTATTCTCTTATTTCTATTCCTCTTGCTTTTCAGGTTTTCAGTTCTAGGAAGAAATCTTTTGTTTTGTTTTTGTGTGCGTGTTTTAACTTTTCTCCCTGAATGCAATGCCTTCTAACGCATCCGCAAAGTCGATGTTGCGTTCCTGTTTTTGAAACGCTTTTTTTTTTTTTTGTTCTTCCTTTTTCCAGCCACTCACCACCTTCCTTGCCGCTCAGTAATCCCTCATGGTCTTCATTTCTTTGCCTTCATTTGTTTTTACCTGCTCTTCTCTTCTTTCCTCCGGCCGCCCCCTTCCTCCCACTTTTTTTTTTTTTTTTTTTTTTTGGCAGGCATAGAGAGGAGTCCTTCTACTGCACGGTCCCCATCACCCCCGTAAAGAGGGAGGTGGAGGAACTTGACACCGTAGAGGAGGTGAGCAGGGTGGCCTGGTTGGAACATGTCAGAGCCACCGATTGGGTGTTTGGTGTATCTTGAAGTGGATTTTTACTTTATTTTATTTTTCGTTGATGATTAGAGGTGTTAGCTGCACGTTACGTTGGTTAGCATTTCACCATCCTCGTTCTAATGACTCCACCTTACATGTAGTTTACACAATTAACACAACGCCAAGGTCCGAATATGTCAAGTGTTGTCACAATGGCACAAAAATGTCCAAAATCAACGGGATTGGATTCAGCGACATTGCAAATCGTATTTCTCGCATTTTCTGTTTTGGAGTTACAGTGGACCAGCCAAAGTCGAGCATTAAAAAAAAAAAAATGTCAAGTCGAATTAATCCGTTCCTGTGTCAAACTGGCGCCATCATAAAACCTTTTATCAACTACGTTACATTTTTCAACGCTAACATTTTCTCTTTTTTAACAGTCAGCCAGGTGCGAAAATGGATTTGACCATTTTCATTTGTTATTTAATAGAATTTTCAATCGTGGAAATCGATCATGTCTTCCATGGTCAAATTGTCGCCACCGTAAAATGTTTCTCAACCCTCCAAACATTTTTTTAAAGGAACGCTTGTGCATTTTTAACTGTTATACAAGTGTAAAAGTAAGTTAACCACCGTTAATCCGTGATCCAAAATCATTTTTACCCTTAGGGCATGATGGAAATTGAACAAATCTGTTCCCCGATTAAACTCTAGCCCCCATAAAATCGTTTTTTCAGGAAAATACCTGCACACCTAACTGTCATGCAGGTGTAAAAACATTCAACACTATTTATCGTCAAACCATGACAAAGAAAGGAACGGTCTATGCTGTATACATCAATGTAGTCCAATTCTAAATCGTTCGGTTTCAGAGGTTCCACTGTACTGTTGGGCTACAATTCAGGAATACCAGAAAGTTGTACGGCATCTTTAATAAATTTTCGTGCTCAAACCTTTCATCTGAAACCATTTTTTTGTTTTTGTTCTTATTGTGACAGCACAAGATTGCCTTTTTCATCGCTGTCGCTGGCTTGCTCCTCTTCTATCAATGAGATGTTGTTTTATTTTTTTCGTGACTGCGACTGTAGAGCACAAAACTGGGCGCCCCAATGACGGTGGACGGCGGGAGCAGCCCCATGGTGAAGCCCAAGGGAGACAAGCAGGTGGAGTACTTGGATTTGGACCTGGACTCCGGCAAATCCACTCCACCTCGGAAGGTAGGCTTGACGTTTGTGAAAAGCTCATCTCATGTTTGTTTGAAAGGCTCAATGAGCATTTACCCTCCTTTAATTACGAAACAAGGCGATATTTTTAGAATTTCAATTTCCACCAAATACAAAGTGCAATGTTTTTGACACAATTGTAATACCGTATTTTCCGCACTATAAGGCTTCGGATTATAAGGCGCACCTTCAATGAATGGCCTATTTCAAAACTGTTTTCATATGTAGGGCACACCGCATTATAAGGCGCATAGAATAGAAGCTACAATGTTGGCTGCAGTTGCCCGATGCATCCATTAGATGGAGCGATGCCAAAGGGAATACAATGCAATACAATTATATAGAGCATTTTTATTTATTTGCCCCAAATTTCTGTGCTTCCACTCCACCTTCCTATTTTAGATGAAGAGCAACGGCTCCGGCATGGCGGCGTCGGACGAGCGCGTAGACTACGTGGTTGTGGACCAACAACGGACGCAAGCCCTCAAGAGCACCCGCGAGGCCTGGAACGACGGCCGCCAATCCACAGAGACGGACACGACATCCAAAGGAGCCAAGTGAACTATTTTTTTTTTTTTTCCCCCCATACACCCAAACTACTCGTCCATCACGGCGTTTCTGCAGCCACTCCCATATCTTCTAGTTTTTGCACTGTCGGCGGGATTTTGCGGAAGTTGGCGAAGCAACCGGACCAACCACGCTCATTCGTCAACTTTGACTTGCAGGGTTTTTCTATTACCACTGGTCGAAAGACGCTAGTTGCGAACAGCGACGGGAAAGAATTTCTTGGGGGGGGCGGAACTCGTAAGTGTCACTGAGGGCTTCGTTTGGAGTTTGGAGTTTTGCTTGCGGTTGCAGTCCGTTGGCATAGCGGACGACTGTACAAAAAGTGTTATGTATATAAATCGGAAGACGTGTCCTTTTTATTTGTCCGGAATATTTAGCATGTTCGACTCGGAAGGTGCGCAGATTCTGCAGGGTAGAATCCTGGTGTACGGTGACGACGCACCGTTCTTGTTGATGACGGCGATTATCAGACTCTAATCGACTGTGAGCTTTTCCAACAACGCCGACACTTTTTCTATAAGTTATGCAAAAGTTAGCAAACAAGTTCCGAGCGTTGAAATCAGGTACGCATACTAACAAACTATAAAAGTCAACACTAATTTATTTCAGCGTAAGTATTCTCTGGACGTCGAATGTTTCCACGGTCCAATTGCCTCATTTCTGACCCCTCTTCGGTTTATTTCAGACTGGTTACTATCGTCAGGAACATAAAATGGCCTTACTAACCTGTGAAACATCCCAAAAGTGTGCCGTCAAAGCTGTACATATTATTATTTTTGCCATTGATTAAATTTAAAGTGTATCTTTTTTTTTAAGTGCCTACTTAAAAAAAATAATAAATTGACCTTCATTCGACTTTTGGGTTCCGCCTGCAGTTTCTTTGTGATAATGAGCTGCCAAGTGGATGATGCTTTTTTTTTTTTTTTTTTTTTTTTTTTTAATCTTGCAAGAAAAAATGTACAAATTTCCAAGTGGACTAAATAAAATCCAAAACTCAAGCACGGGTGGTCTTTTGTTGAATAAATGTACTTTTGCTCACTGTTTGGAGTGCTATGACAAACCTCACATTTGGCCAAGACTGATGTCCAGCTTACTATGATGCCAAACGCCATAGTTCCACGTTTTTTTTTGTTTTTGTTTTTGGTTTTTTTTACACACTGTTAGTTAAAATGGATGGCTCACAATACAGTATTTAGACAACGAACCCAAGTACTTCACTCATGCTGTGACATTTGTGTCTTGCTTGCAACCTTTTTTTTTTTTTATTGTAGTTATTCCTGCATGGTTTACCAGAAATGACCACTAGATGACGCCGTAGTTTAAAGAACTGAACATCCCTTTTGTCATTACGGGTGGCTTCTTCCATGTCGGTGCCGCTCTTGGAAAGCTCCTTCTCAAGTTAATCATTTAAATCCCACAACAGCAATTACCTGCTATATTTATTAATGGTACGACTATATTACATGTGGATTTTGCTGTGTAATCTCTGCGGGATCCACCGTAGAAGTACTGCTCATTATAATTTAATACTGGATTGTGCTCGATAATAATGCCGTCTAATGGCATCTTTGGTGATGCGTTGACCTTTAAAAAACGGGAGAAAGGTAGCGGAACGGATTGAATATATGGTTGTCAAAAAGCAAAAGAGCAGTAAAAGTGCTTTTAAAGTGAAAGAACTTTAAAAAAAGGCAAAAACAATTCTACGTGAGCAGGTGGATCAGGAACGTATGCATCACAAAAATAAAGTTTCACTTTACACGAAACGATGGCATATTTGACGATGTTAGTATTTTTTAATCAAATATTTTGAACCTATCCTTCGTGTGATGTCACGTCAGTTTGTGTAATCGATCTAATCCTATTCAGGGCTACAGACTGCCACGAAATGGTGGCACTTTGCTCCAAAATTTGAGGCAGTGTCAGTACATTTTCCATCTACTCGGATCTATGCGATCAGAAAATTAGCTTTTTTCTTTTTAATAATATCTGCTCATAAGTATTTTTGGGGTGCTGTCAAACTTCCGCTCAACACTTCGAAGCCACTTATCAGTAATAAACCGAAAATGAGTGGACTGAATATTGATTTTGCGAGTCAATTTACAGTGTGCACCCCTAAATTTCAGATTAGGGGCCACTGTGCTCAAAGTAAAAAATAAAATAATGAGCCTCGTGTGAAGATCATTATCGTTTCGTGAGCGTGCGCATATTTGAGGCATGGCGTTAATGCGAAATGATGCTCTCCATTTTAAGTGCCATGCTGCCCTCTTCTGGTATATATTGTGCAATTACAAGCTGACTTTAGAACGAGGGTGGAGGGGGAGCGAAGTTTGTTTTCTTCTTCTTTCGTGATCCTGAAATCTTGCATTACCGGGAAGCCGAGGCGTCACATGAAAACAGTATCCTAATAAAATAAAGACGAAACAAAAACGCCATATGCTAAGCTGTCATGCTCTGATCGAACAAAATAGCGCCACATGTTTAGCAATTCCATTTGAGCGAAGCACGGCGGGGAACCGAGGGACATCATCGTCCAATCTGCCGCACGTCAACGTTAGCCAACGTGACGGAGACATCTGCGTTGATCGCGATGTGTGCTTTGTGAGGACTGCTGGGGAGAAGAAAAAAAACATCTCTCTCTCTCTCGAGAGAGATCTATCTATCTATCTATCTATCTATCTATCTATCTATCTATCTATCTATCTATCTATCTATCTATCTATCTATCTATCTATCTATCTATCTATCAACGGCTCCCTGAAGGAAACTAAGTTGGAAAGAAGATGAGAAAGTGTGCAGTGTCAATCAATGCTCCCACTCAATAAAGAAAAATACTCTTGACATTTTGGGGGGCATTTGGTTGCATAACGTCATTTGTTGGCATGTCTTGTGTTAATAATGCATTTGGGCATGGTATTAATGGGGACCACGGGCGCTGGCGTGGCGAACAACAGTCCCTCCAGAGGCCCATTTGCCCTGCAAGGCCTAATTGGGCTGAGTTGTGAGGTGGCCAATTGATGCGTCCTCTGCCGAGGACACTTGGAACCAGACCAGAACTAATACTAATTAATGCCCAGCTAACAGCCCGTCATAAAGAATGGCCCGGTTTCAATTTTTATGAGCTGCTTGGTGGAGAATAGATATTTTCATCATCAAATCATCTTTCACGCTAGAATTTAAGTCAGTGGCAGCATTTTAGGTGCACGTAGTAGGTGACTTTTAAAAGTTTCATACAAGATGACAAATATTATATTGAAGATTTTCTTTTTTTTGGGGGGTGGGGTCCTCATATTCACATATTGTCAAATTTGTGGGTGGTGGGGAGTCTTGCCTCCGTTGTTTGCACAAAACTGTTTTTTCCACCTGGAAAAACATACAGTTTCATTTTTTCTGGGAATTGTTGTCTTGGGGACCGCCGCTTTAAGGCACTGAGGATTTCTTCGGGACACTTATAGTTTCAGAAATTGAGGTTATCCCCGGATTTTTGGATCTGGATCATATTAGATATTCATGTCACATCATATTCGTAAACGGGGACATCTGTAACTCGTGGTTCAATTGTATTCTCATGAGATACTGTGGAAAAAATTAAAAAAATAAAACAATTATTCAAAAACAAAGCCATAATCTTTCAAAAACCAAAGTCGCACTTTATCAGTAAAACAATCTTTCTATTCAAGAAAAAAAAATCATATTTTTTGGCTTTTTTTTTAAATCAATATTTTTCTATAAGTCATAATCTCGCAAGGATAAAAGTGAATTGTTTGAGAAGGAAAAAAAAATCTACTTTTACAGGAATTAAGTTGTATTTCTACAAAAAAAAAAATTCCCACCACCACCCCAGTCTCGCATCTTTGTCCAACATGCAAGCTGATCATCAAGCTAAATATGATATTTACTTTCAAATGACATCCCCGGCGAGAACCTCACGAAAGTGTTATGTTAAAGCTCTTTAATGAGCTTCCCGTGGCGTTTCCTCAGCTGCGGTGTTGGCATTTAGAACCGTAACGCTTTAATGAAGACAAACATATCTGCACTGCTCTGAAATTTAAAAATGAAAAAAAAAACTGTGGCTTGTCTGTAGGGTTCATTTAGTGTGTATTGATTTAAAAAACAAAACAAAAAAAGAAACTTTCCAGAGAGCGAGTAGACTTGGAACAGTTTTAGATTTTTCTTGCCCTGTAGAGGTAATTCGCAAATTGCCAATGTGCGACTTCTATTTAAGTTCTATAATTGGCAGACTTGCACTTAAAGCACACTCTGTACCTTCATTTTAACAGTTCATAGCCTAACTTCATACCCACAATTCAATGCTTTTTATTTTTACCAAATACGACGGGGCAGCATATGTGGTCCATCATGTGACCCCGGCATAAATGACACAAATCCCGTTTATTTGTTTGCTAATTTGTCCAAAATTTGGAGTTCATCGGTCGGTCGGTCTAATAATTGGCCAATTAATCGATTCTCAGAATTTATTTTGCCAAATATCAGGATCGACATCGACCTCCCCCTCAAAAAATCCATAAGGGTCAGGTCATAGTTTGGTTCAGATTTGGTACAGTAAGGCAACAAAATGTGCAACAAAAAAAAAATCTAATGGCCAAAAAAGTTTGATATAACTCAATTGCGATTCTTAAGCAATAATTAGGTCCGGATTTGGCCCACAGGCCTTGAGTTTGAAACCCGTCGTACGGCAAAGTTCGCGTCAGCCTTCCCCATGGTCATAAATGTATATCTAAACGCTGCGTTTAAATCGACGGCGCTAAAGTGAAAATCGTAGATGTGGAGGAGTCCATTGCAGCTGAGCGAACGGCGAGCGATTGTCTATTAGCGTCAGATTTAGGGCTGCCGCTCTGCAAGCGTAGCGCCTCCAAACGGCCATCAAAGTGAGAAAGTGCTCGTTGGCGCAGAGATAAAAGCCGCCAGCCGTGAGATGGATGTGCCGCGCCTCCGCCTCCGCAACGCCTTTCAGGTTCTTTGCAGGGATTGGGAAAGGCGTAGCTGTCGGTTTGCGCTTCTGTTTCTGATGCTCCGTTCCGTGTTTGTCAGCAATTACCGTCATCCGACAAGAATTTTATACAGTATGTCGCACCTATATTTTTTTTTTTTTTGAGGGGGGGGGTGGGAGGGCAAGCCATGTTTTTTTTGTAGAAAGCATCAATATTTATTCCGACGTTATTTTTATTTTATTTTATTTTTTTACTTTATTATATTACTTATATTCTATCTATATAAGAAAATCTAAAAATAATACAAAATCTAAAAAAAAATAAACAAAAAACAAAGCATTTTGCAACAAAAAATAAAAATAAAAACTCAGAAACCCGCTGTAAAATTCAAAGATAACTGATTTGAAAAAAAAAAAAAAACGGTAAAAACTGTATCCATCCATCCATTTCCAACACCACTTATCCTGAAAAGGGTCACTGGAGCATATCCCAGCTGACTTTGGGCACAAGGCAGACGACACCCCAAACAAGCATTCACATCCACATCATCAGTGAGTGGGAACGGGTCCCTCGCTGCATGCACACAAGTCAGGCGAGTGTATCACTACACTATCAGCGACCAGATAAAAACTAACGAAAATAAAAAATCCTAAACTATTCTTACCCTGCAAATGACCTGATTGTCGGATTCTGTTTTCCATGTGGGAGCGCCCACACACTCACGACAATACCCCGTTTTTGCTGGGTGGCTTCACTGGGACAGTAACCCCCCACCCCACCCCCTCCACCGGATGCGGAAAAAGTTGCTGCGGTACAATTTGTCTGACGCCACACAGTGATTAACTTTCATCATTTGTCCCGACAATTTCCCCAGACTGTACTGCGAGAGTCGAAATGCAAATATGGCTTCATATAACCGTGACACTAACGACGTCCCCCGAGCCGACAAAGCGGTGCGTTTTGATCACAAGC